TATTGAGACAGGGTTTCTCTGTGGCTTTTGGAGCCTGTCCTGGAACTACCTCTGTAGACCAGGCTGGTCTCGAACTCACAGAGATCCGCCTGCCTCTGCCTCCCGAGTGCTGGGATTAAAGGCGTGCGCCACCATCGCCCGGCTCTTCCCCCAGCTTTGTTGGACTATGTTTGGCTAATAAACATTGTATGTATTTATGTTTGCAACTGGATCAAGGGGAAAAATTCCAGCAGGGCCACTTGCAGGGCAGTGCTAGCCATGCTGGACCGTGTTCAGAGACAGCCACAGGAAGGGGGTATTTGGACTGATGACTGAGCCAGCTACCCCAAGAGTTAACAGTCGATTCTCAGGTTGTGAGAAGTGCTTGGGCAGAGCGTGGCATGGCGTAGGCCCCTGTAAAGGTATCAGTCAAATGTATCAGGTAACCGAATATATCTGGACCTCTGGTCAGCATAAACAGCTTGGGCAAAGACCCTGGGGCAGGAATTAGCTTGCGTCTGAAGAAGAAAAGGAAGGTCTGGGTGATCTATTAAAATGAATGGTGCGGGGGTGAGGAATTCTGGGGAGTTTACAGAGGTGGTGGGGCCAGCTCAGCCGTGGCCAATGGAGGCTCTGGTCTGTAGAGTGTGAAAATTTCTCCCTCAGTGAACCTGGAAGGCCCTGTAAGGTTTCACAGTGGTCAGGGGGAGATGGGAACAGCCACGGGCTCTGATTCTGTTTCCTGTTCCTTTGGCATGAGCGGAGTGGAGAGAAAAGTCTCCTGTGGGTGTCCAGGTGGGAAGTGAAGGAGATGGAGGAAACATGGGGAACACCTTGGGGTTGGTTTCAGGTGGCATTTGGCAGACCTTGTAGACAGCTAGCTGGGGAATGAGACACAAGGAAATAGACAGATCAGAGCCTGCAGACGTGCACCCTTGGGTGGACAGAGTTTAAATGAAGATGGGGGCACTCGGGGTGGCGCTTGAGGGAGCGTGGCTGAGGAATGATCTCACCTGCAGGAGCAGATTTCAGGCGGGAATGAAACTGGACGTGGTTGGATAAAGAAGACAGAGGATCAGCCAAGCAGCATGGGAGTGACCAGGGTCTGGCAGGCTGTATCCCCTCGCTGTGGAATCCTTTGCTAGAGGAAGAAGGCAGAGCCTGAACACTCTGGTTCACTTCCAGGTCATCAGCACATACTGGCTTAGGTGCCAAAGATCAGGCCAGGGAGAGAGCGCTGGCTGCCTGTGTGCAGTCCCAGGAGGGTTGTTATCTGGAGGACTGGAGGGGGCTGCTGGAGCCGGCTGGCCTGAGATCCCCTTCCCACCCTGGCAGACAGCGCAGGCTGCCCTTCCTCCACCCAACCCCCAGATACTAGGATGAGGCCCCCTTTGAAATCTGAGTGAGGTGAGATGAGGACACATTGAGGAAGCTTTGCTTCTCACGGTGTCTCTGGACCTCAAGAGACTCCAGTGGTGGTCGTGTCTGTGAGCCTCATGGAATATCTACAGGACCTGGGTAAGGGGACAGAAAGAAGGGCCCTAAAGGGCCCCTGAGAGGAAAGCTGGGATTTCTGCGACCTTTCAGTTGACGTCAAGCAGGAAAATCAGTCTCCCGGGGCCTCTGTTGGCAGTGAGGAGGGAACCTTCCTATCCTAGCCCAGCCTGGGCTCCCAGACCCTAGGCGCCAGAGCTGGAAGGGGCCCAGACTGCCACGGGAAGCATTCCCCTCCACGCTCCATCCTCTGTCATCCCTCTGCTGAAACCCCACAGTGGCACCAGGATTTTTTAACCCAGGCATGGCAGCCCTGTGTGACCCTACCTCGCTGATCTAGCTACCAGTCCAACCATCACAGGACTAAGGCAGCTGGCCTCCACCCCTGAGGCCTTTGCACCCACTCCTCTCTTCTCCAGGTACAACAGGTGAGCTCTGTTCACCCTTCAGGCTGGGTCACAGATGAAATACTCTAGGTGGCGGTGGCCCCTGCCTCCCAGCCCAGGGGCACTTCCCCAGCTTTAGGTCACTCACTGTTAAAAACTGTCCAGAGCATCTCTGAGCACAGCTGTGCCAAAGTGGCACGCTTGTATTATGCTTCCTGCTGGACAGTGACAGGCAGTGCCGTCTTCTCTTGTACTTGGCCTGGCGTAGGCTCTCTCCAAGTTCAAGGTGACCAGGCCCAGAAAATGGCTTAACTTTCCCATCTCAATGGCATCTTTAATTCCTTCATATGAGCATTCAATAACATGTATCACCAAGCACACTAGGCTTGGGACCTCTAGGACAGCAGTTCTCAATCTATGGTTCATGACCCTTTTGTGGGGGGGGGTGTCGAATGATCCTTTCACAGGGGTCACCTAAGACCCTTAGAAAACACATATGTTTACATTATGAAATTACATAAAAAGTTAGGAAGTAGCAACAAAAACAATTTTATGGTTGAAGATCACCACAACATGTATTAGAGGGTCGCAGCAGTAGGGACAGAATTTTTCCCCTCTCAGGACTTAGCAAGGGAGGATCTGCCATTGATGGCAACAGTGACCGTAAAAGTCACAGCGGTGAATAAAGAATTGCGTGGTGTCACAAGAAACTAGGAAGGGAAAACCACAACAACAGAGAGAGAGAGAGAGAGAGGTTCTTGCACAGAGCTCTGAGATGGAAATAGGAGCTGCCGAGGCAAAGAGAGGAGGGAACAGAACCTTCAAAGACCCTGAGACTAATAAGAGAGTAGGGTGGATGAGGAGCAGAAATAGAAGAGTGACTGGAGTAGGCAACTTAGGAAGAGAGACACTGGTTGACATTCAGAAGGTGAGCAACAGCTGGGATATGTGGAACTCTATCCTAAGAACAATGGGGAGCTACTGAGGGAGGGATGCTGAGCAGGGCCATTGCCTGGCTGCATTGGTGTGAAAGTTGGGACTAATTACTACTCAGTGCAGGGACCAGACCCCAAGCCATCCCAGCACTGATGCTTAGCCCCTGTAGGATACTGATGCTCTATTACACTGGATCCCTGCCCAGCGAGGACCTTTCCAAGCCTGGATACTGCTCTGCCCATGCTCGTGGGGCATTCTGACCTGACATTCTCTGCCACTGGAAAATGGGGACCGATTTGAATGCTATTTTGCGCTGCTCCATGAGGTTGAGGACCTCTCTCTAATCAAGGCAAGCTAGGTGTCCAAAGCAGCCTCAGAACTCCCTGGGTAGACCCCAGCATTCAGGGATTGTCCCTTTGGAAGCAGAGAGCTGGGCTTCCTACCGCACTTGCTGGGGGTGGGCCCTGCTGCATGGGGTGAGACAGGGTTCAGATGAGTCTTGCTGGAACTCTATGGCAGAATTAATGGCAGAGACCCCTGTATGCCTGGGATCCATGTGTGTGGAAACTGGTGCCAGGGCGCAGCCAAATTAAACCCTTGTAGCAGTGCAGTGAGTGAAATGTTTACGCTCTCCGGAGCTAAGTCTGGGATCAAAGACCCGTGAAGAAATAGTGGCTCCTAGCATGTCCGCGTTGGAAGGTGTTGTCTCTTGCAACCCCCAGTGTGGCAGCAGAATAGGAGTCTAGGGAGGTCCAGAGGACAGGTATCTTCACACTGCTCATGTGGTCAATGTTTGACTGCCTGCCCACACTATAGTGTAGCTGGTTATGATGTTTGGTCCCTTCCTGCTCCACATACAATCTTTAGGCAAGAAAGGGAGGCGGGGCTTGAGGGGTAGATCAATACCAGACAACCTTAGATTTGTCACTTTCTAGTTTCTTCACTTGTTGAGATGAATCTTCATCTGTACCGAAAGATCCCGTAGCTATGAACTATATTCACATGTGGCTATTTATTGATTTTTGAGACAGTTTTATTATGTAGCCCAAGCTGGTCTTGAACTTGAGATCCTCCTACCTTGGCCTCCCTAGTTCTGAAATTATAGGTATGTGCCACCATGCCCAATTTAAGCTTTATTTAATATCAATTAATGTCACCATCAAGCGTTACAATAGACAGGTGTGGAAGCACACACCTGCAACCTCCGAGTTAAACTCCAACTTCAACAGAAAGACTTGCCAACACACCAAATGTGTTTAGAGTCTAAACCTAACTAGGTCCTTTGGGGTCCAGCCCCAAGGTCCTTTTCAGGGTTCATACTGGATGCTACAGCAAGCAAGAGGAACTCTTTTCTTAGGGCGAGTGAACTCTCTTGCACATGTGCTGTTCTGAGCAAGTCTCTTTATTCTTTTGCCCCTATCCTAATTCTCCTGTTTTAGTTCTAATTCCTCCTAGCTTCTTCTCTTCTAGCCTAAAAGCACTGTCCTTACAGGAGCTTTGAAGCAATAAAAAAAAGTATAGGAGTTACCTCTCATTGGTCAAAAGCACATTCCTAGGGTAAGCGATAAGGAGTTGAGCCATTGCCATGGCAACACAAGGCTCCAAGGTTACAGGAATAAGACTATGACCAGAGAGGGGTGAGGGGCACAGTGCCCAGTGATAAACTTTAAGGCCTGTTGTCAGCTGACTTGGCAGGTGAGGAATTGGCATGCTTTTCCTGGATGCTTTGTGTTGCAACCTTGGTTGGATATTTGTGATTCTGACCTTGTGCATAGCTGTAAGGTTTTAAACGTATGCTCTATTTACAAAGAGCCTTTAGCCTAGTTTGAACTTGCTCTGAGATGAAAATGGACTAATTGTGTGTAGTTAGTCTGAGCCAAAGAAACAAAGCAGGCTTTTAAGTGTCTAACAGTCCTTGTGGGACAGATCTAGTTATAAAGCATATTCTATATATCAAAATCATTTAATGAAAAGTCATCTTCCTGACCACCCAAAAGTATATGTGCCCATAAGATAGAGATGCAGTCTTGAGATTACATATGCACATCACATGAGATTACACACTACAGTGCAGGTATTGGGAGACACCAAGCTGCTTTAGCAAAAGTGAGCAACAGTCTCCAGAGTTGATGGTCCTGCAGGCCTTGCCTGGACAGGGCTAACCTCCATCAGAGAGTCACCCCCCTGGTAGGTTGACATCTGAATTATCAGTTGCCATAAACTGTATATTTCCATGGCTTCTGACATGTACCCTCAGCCTCTCTCTGCAGTATGAGTATCCAGTGGGAGACACTCAGAATTTTCTCCAGGAGAGCCCCAGAGTTCCTGGGGATCCTTTCTTAGAGAATGCCATGTTGGTCAGACTTCAGGCTCTGTGTGCAGCCTAGACTTCCATAGCTTGTGGTCCACATGGATAGACATCCTTGGAGGATGGAGAAGTCATATATGATGGTCATGCCTGGGTTGGAGGCGTGTCTGTTTGCAGAACAGGCTGCTGCCGGGTCTTTGGGTGCTTCTGAGCCATCACACACCTCTTTTCTCTAGTTCTTCACACACACACACCCCGCCCAGGATAACACCCCTAATCTTCACCATTGCACAGGTCCACTCAGTCACAAGGCTGTCAATCCCTACAGACCCTGTGTCGCAGACTCCTGACGCAATGTCCTAGCTCACTGTGACACTCATTTCTGTTCTGTGGGACTAACAAACTTCCCTTTCAGGGAGTATAGTCTCCACCTCCTATCTCCAGAGGTTAAATCCCCTGCCTGGCAGGCCTAGCTCACAGTAGGTCTCCAGTATGTGACAAGCAACTCTGTTGAGGTGACAGGCCCTCCTTGAGCCTTGGCATTTGTCCTGTTTAAAGCTAGGCAACTTGAGCATGAGAGGGGAACATATTTCTCACCCTAACCCTTAGAGACTTGAACTTTGAGGAGAGGGAGCAGTATGGCAGGTCCTCATAGGCTAGGGGACAAGGGGACATGGGTGAGCAATTGAGTCCTGGGTTTCCTTGGGTAAAACTCATACTGATGGGGGACTTAGTTGTTCTTTTGCTGCACGTCCCAGGGGACCTCTGAGGCCTCTATTTATGCCAATCCTTCCTGGGTTGAGAGTTCTGGGTGTCTTTGACCGCTAGGTCACACCTCCACTGACCTCCAGGTCCCCTGCAGGGCTCTCCACACGTGTCCATCTTTCCTTCTAAAGCATCCTGCTTGCTGGAGATGGATGCTGTGGGACTTTCTCATGCCCCCCTTCTCAGGTGTCTCAGCCTCTGTATCTCTGACCAGGGCCTTAAGTGTTGGGGTTCCCAGAGCCCCATTTGCCTCTTACACCCTCTTCTTAGTGAACTCATTGCCTCTGCCCCTGGGACTCCCGTTTCCATGGAGATCGGTATTTTTCAGTTTGGGGTCACAACCTAGTGGCTTGTGAAATCAATTCGATGACTTGTGATCAGCATTTTTTTTAATTAATAGGATGGAGAAAAATGAAGTCTCAAATCTCAGATGCACTGTGTGTAGGAAGGCCGCTGCCACTCATCCCTGGGGATGTGTCCTACTTGGATGTTCTTTATCAAACTCTGGACATCCACAGACTTAAAGTTACAGTCTCCCCAATCTGTATTTGGGATCCTTGCCTTCCGGATCTGTGGGTCCGGTTGTCCACCTCCCATCAGGATGGCCACAGCACCTACAATTACTAGATGGCAAAGAAAATACATTGTGTTCTTCTTGAACCAGCTGCCCCTTGTATGTCCCCAGTCAGGCACTGTCTGTTACCTAGCATAGCATCTCCAGACACATCCTAAAATTGTCCTTCCTCTTCCTCTGCCTCCACCCCTGCCAGGCTCTCTGTCCTTGGCATTCCACCCTCCTTCTTGCCATCTCCATGTCTGCTTTCCTCTCCCTCCTCACCCCCCCCCTCCCGAACTACCCTCTCCACCCCCTCATCCCTGCTGCTCCAGCATCCCCACTGGGCACACTGGACAGGCTTTCCATACTGCAAAGTCATTCAAGCAAACCCTCCTCACTCCCCGAGTGGAACTCTGAGGGACAAGCACACACTCCCAAGCCTCCTCGCACAGCCTCCTGCCTGCCTCCTTCCTCTGA